CATTTTAAAGTTCTACTAAAATATTTCACGTGACCCCCCCTTTTTCCCTTATTTTTTTGGGATGGCCCCCCCTCGAAAGCCATTTTTTTCGCATGGCCCTCCCCCCAAATCCCACCAGCCCCCCCTACCTTATAAAAAATGAACGGTCCCTAACGGCTTTACAGGCAAATTCATTCTCTACGATGTGGTAACATTTATTTATATGCACAAGAACTGGGTAAAATGTCTAAATAGGCCCACATGGGACTATGGTGGACTAATTGTCGTACTCTTCTTACGTCTTCCTTCCGCAAAATAAACTACAGAATGCATTGGATAAACTTGTTATACACCTACACAGCATTACAACGAGTATAACTTTTAGTTATCAAGAATATGTGCACGCACAAAGAACTGATCATGGTATCCACCCAAGAGACGCCACGATCCTCGAACGAGGAATTGCAAGCTATAAAAAAGACAACCTTTTTAGAGCCATGGCACTCAACGATGGACGGAAACGCGGTGATCGAAAAAAAATTCTTTCCGTGCGCTTATTCTCCTTTGTTTTCAGTTAAAACCCTGCAACCGTGTTCAAGCACGTAAACAAAAACGTGAGCTGCGTAATAACGAACATACATTTTTTTGCCACTAAAAAATGTTACCAAAAATTTAGTGAGCAAAACAAAAAAATATTTAAGTCAAATAATCTGTACATATATACAAATTTCTTATATTTTGTCAATAATTAGGTTGGCCAGTAACATAGATGGACTGCGTCGGACACCAGACTCATTTCATGATCAGCGGTATTACTCACAAATGATCCTGGGCTTCAATGCTCTTGACCGCGTTGAGCGATATGTCAGGTTCCGACTGATTCCCGCTGATGGGTCACCGGAAACAGGTTTGCTGTCAGAAGATGAACAGAGAAAAATATGGTAAGGTTCTACAGCCATCTAAGTTCATAAAGAAATCAGCTGCGAAGGCAAGAACTAAAAATTAGCCAATCAGAATGTTTTAATTCTTATTGATTCAATATGTTTTTCTTTTTTTTTTTAATTAATTGCTACTTACACTGCTTACAATACAATATTAATGTAGTTACTTACACTACTTACAAAAACTTATTACTTACGCTACTTACGATACTAACACTCACTCTATACAATACGCATACTCACGCTACTAACAATACTAATACTTTCACTGCTTACAATACAACATAATTAGATTACTTGCGCTACTTACAATTCTAGCACAGCAAGATCATACCAGTTTACTCCTGTCAGTAATTTAAATTCGGAATTGCGAAATAAAGAAAATATGCATGGTATATATGCGCCTTGTTTCTTTTCCTTTCATTTCTATTTTCCTTTTCAGGGGACTAGGGTCAAGCTGTCAAGAGATTACAAAAGAGGCAACAGAGGCTCCCACTTTTTTTTCCATTTCATAGATATGTTTTAAATACAGTAAGAAATCGTTTAATATTGGAGAACATTTTTTTCTGTCTACATAGCCAAATGTAATATTTAGCATTTAAGCAGCAGGAGTTAATGTGGAGTGCTGTATCAGTGCTGTATCAGGCTCTAAGGGCGTCTCTTTGGCAATGTCTTGGCAAGACTGTAGCCATACTTTAAAATTGGTTTAAAAATATTGAGTTTTTGGGCAAGCCCAAAATAAATGTGCAAGTTTCTCTGTTTCTCTTTCGCAGAAAGTGCATTTCTCGCTATCGACGAGACCAATTTTTTTCAAGAAGTTGTTTTGTGCTTTTTGTACATTGAAAAGCCATTTGGTAAATCTCTTTCCAGTTGAGCCCTTGTTTTGTTGTGAGAGTGACGTCTTCCTGCCACTTTTGTTGACTTTGTTGGGTGGTTCACTTTTTCCTGATACAAGTTTCTTATATACTAGTCTACTAGGTTTCTCGCTTTTTAAAAATTTTGACAAGACACTTTCATGTTTAATCGAGGTTCTGATATTATGGGCTATATATCTTTGAAGGCGTTNATAAATGTGCAAGTTTCTCTGTTTCTCTTTCGCAGAAAGTGCATTTCTCGCTATCGACGAGACCAATTTTTTTCAAGAAGTTGTTTGTTGATATTCTTCGATGAAGAAATTTAAAATTGAAAGTTAGAAGTTTTGTGCTCTTTGTACATTGAAAAGCCATTTGGTAAACCTCTTTCCAGTTGAGCTCTTGTTTTATTGTGAGAGTGACGTCTTCCTGTCACTTTTGTTGACTTTGGTTGGGTGGTTCACTTTTTCCTGATAGAAGTTTCTTAAATACTAGTCTACTAGGTTTTTTGCTTTTTAAAAATTTTGACAAGAAACTTTCATGTTCAATAGAGGTTCTGATGTTATGGGGTACATATCTTTGAAGAAGTTTTCTTGAAGAAATGATTCCAAGAAAGACTAAAGGTCGGGCTGTCAGGTCATGTATAGTTTGGAAAGCACTGAGCGAGAGAAACTTTCCGGAGTCATCCTTTAAATGTTCTACTTTTGTTATTCCTTTGAGGAACCATTCTTTAAAAAACACTGGTCTATTCCCAACTCTTATAAGTGAATTATACTGTAAGGGCGATGACCGAAAGTGATAATCTGATACAATATTTTCTTCATAATTGGCTTCTGACCAGATTTCAAGAATTTCTTTGAAAAAAGGATCTGATACTTTAATAATGTTACGATTGTCTTTTATGTTTAGATTTCCAGTTAGAGTTACTTCACCTCCATATTTTTCAAGTTCTGATTCAAAAAATCTTTTCCAGCTTCCACAGTTTTCCTTATCTAGATACTTCTTTATCCATGTGGCCTTGAGAGATCTATTAAAGGAAGTTATATCAATCATTTTAAGTCCTCCTTCTGAGTAATCATTAATCATTACCTTTCTTTTTATTTTGTCGCCTTTGTCATTCCATAAGAAGTTGTAAAACATTACATTTATCTCCTTTATTGCT